TCCAAGGTACCTAAGAGCAACAACAACAATGGATGTGGGGGTTGAACTACCAGAGGCAGAAGAAAACTCTTATGCTGAATTACAAAGTTAGTCCCTTCATGAGTGATGATTCCTTAGAAGAGAGTTTGCATTCAGGTTGCATCCAGATACTGTGAGAGACAGGAGCAACCTCACTATCGCCTTCCTGCAGGCACTTTGGTACGGCACACTCGGTCAGCTCTGGAGATGAGCTGGGTGTGGAGGTGAGCTGGCTGGTCCCTGGCCAGTTCATTGGTGCCCGATTGCTCTGGTTTGGGATTCATGGGTTCTTCAGGTGTATATATCTAACAATGCTGACGCTCTTAAGTGATGTTGAGTCGATTCTGACTCATAGTGACCCTGTATAGGGTTTCCAAGGAATGGCTGGTGGGTTTGAACCATCGACCTTGTGGTTTCGTGCTTATCCAACAACACCACAACAGAACTCCATATAGATCCTAAACTCCTGAGTACATGAAATGTCATGACCCTGCCTTCATTCAGCCCTTCCCTGGTGGCACGAATGTTCTCAGCTATTAGCCAAAAGGATGGTGGTTCAAATCTACTCAGAGATACCTGGAGATCTACTTCTGAAAAATCAATCGTTAAAAACCTTGTAGAGCACAGTTCTTCTCTGACACACATGGAGTTGCCATGAGTCCTAATCTACTTGGCAATTGATTTGTTTTTGCCATTATTCATACAACTCAGGGGTGTCAGGAACAGAGGGTCCTAGGACCATCAAGGGAGAAGAGCATGAGTGAAATGTGGGACCCTATCCAGAGAAGCAGCGACACCAGAGATGATGCCATGGAGAAATAGAGCAGCTGAGGACTCTAGACTCATGGAAAGAGAAATTCTGTGTGCTGGTGGCCAGGAGGCAGGCTTGCAGAATGTGCCCTTTGGTTGTTTAAATGATTATGTATTCCTGAGTGTTTTTGTGTACACCCCCCCAAAACAAACCCAACAACAACAAGAACAAAAAACTAACACCAGAGGGAATAGAAGCAAATACTGTTGATTGATGATGCACGGAGGAGATTGTAATCATGGCAATGAAACAATGAGTGTAAAATCGACGTTCTCCAATGTAAACTATCGCTCAATTCACAATAAAAACTTAAAAAACAAAACAAAAACAACTCAGTGGGATCAAAGTATCATTTTTCTGAAATTACTGTAAGCTGCCATTTCTAGTCTTCTGGAATTTTTTTTTTTTTAATTTATTGTTGTAGAAGAAATATCTGATGCCACTCATAGTTTACATTAACTTATGTCACTGAGTGGAACAATCAGTGGATTGGAATTTTAGACTGTCTTTGTAGGTTGTTAGTTTAGCCCACTCTGAAGCACCTTGGGAAAAAATGCCTGGTCACAGCCATGGAAACCTCATGGAGCACAGTTCTACTCTGGCACGTATGGGGATGCCTCATAGCACCTACAGAGAATCTTTGTTGTCATTTTTCAGCCTGTTCTTAAGTGTAATCGAGTGGGTTCTGACTCACAGCAACCCTGTATAGGGTTTCTGAGGAGCAGTGCATGTGGGTTTGAACCACTGACCTTACAGTGGTGTCGTGCTTATCCTATAGTGCCACACCCCTCAGATTTTCCCTCCATCCTTGTTCAAGATGTTTTGAAATGGATGTGACCCACTCTCGCTGACTTGCTTGGGATACAGCAAACTGCTTTGATTTTGAGTGTGGCTTCTATTAACATGTTGAAATGACAGTTGCAATTAGTTGATTTTTAACGGGACATTGTTCTGGACCTTTAACTGCGAAAAGCTTAGAAACAATCATCTGTCTCCAAGTTATCAGGATACACTTGATCAGGAGGACAGTTTGCATTAGTTCTGGGCCACATCAGGAGTTTTGTAGTCACTGCATGCTAAGTGGGGTCCCATGTCCCCCAGCACTGGCAGAAACCTCTTTCATGTATTCCCATGAATTTCTTTATTGCGTGCTGATGCACCAACAGGCAGCCTCCTCTGGGATCTCAATTTGGGTCATGGTGAAAGGGACAGGATCTAGAGTCTGTTTATGCACCCTTGGAGTGGACCCCAGAGGGGAATCTGCCCTACAAAGATGCCTTGCTTAGGACCTAGGCTCCAGGTTTGGCATGTCTAGAGCCAGCTGTTCGTTTCACACCTGAGTGTGCTCCGGCTCTAGGGTCCAAGTTAAATAAGCTGAACCCTGAAGTTTGTCACGAGTCATTTATGCACCGAGAACCAAAACACTGAGTCCTGTTGCCTATGAATTGGTGGTTGACAACGAGCCCCTTTCCTTGAAAATTTGAGAACCAGTTTAAGAACCAATTCCTTAACTCTGTTTCCCCTCCTGGCCCTCCTGCCAAGAGCAACGTAGCTGGATGTGCCTTCCGCTCTGCTGAAAACGTCGCTGGCTTCGTCAGCAATCATCTTCTGTTCAGTCTAAATTTATTTTTATGTGAAATTGAAATCAGGAAAACACCAAAATTATTTTAAGCAAAATATCAAAATTGAAATAAACCAACATATGTCTGTGAAACATGTATAACTCTCAATCAAAAATAAGTGCAACTTTCATAAATTTCTTAAAATACTCCAGCTGGCAAAATTTGGACGGCTTGAATAAATGGAGTTATGGTACCTTTGAGTGTTCATTCTGCTTAGTTCATTTTGTGTGTAAAGATGAAAATTCACACAGCCAACACCCGGTCAGCTGTGGATGAGCCTTTCAGTAGCATGCCCCTCCCCAGCTCCTGGAATAAGTGAAAGTCCCCAGTTTGAAGCTACTTCTGCTGACTGCGATTGAAAATCTTGAATTACCTCCTTCCATTATGTACTGCCCTCCGCCTGCTTGTACACATGCACCCACACTTCTAACAAATGAAGTTTCTTAATTGCTTTAAATATATTGTATTTGGTTTCTGATCTTTTTTTTTTTTTTCTGCTGTATTTCTACATTTCCCTGAACTCAAATGAGATTGAAAGTGGCTAAGTAACAAATCTTCTAGGACTTAGCACCAAAGAGACAGTTAAAAGGTAAATTCACATCTCACCCTGAGGCTTGATTCCCATGCTTTCTCAAACACATTTTTGAACTTAGATGGTTACTTCAAGGGTGGGTATTTCCATGATCTGTAAGACCAGACTCCTTGCCCACAAAAGACACTAAGTGAATATTACCGTCACTAAATACGATGAACAAATCAGTGAGGCGTTTCTTGAAACCTTCAGCTGTTCACTTTCAACTCTTCTGATCATGAATTGTTGTTGTTGTTAAGTGCCGTTGACTTAGTCCTGGCTCATAGCGACCCGTATGGACCCTGTATGGTTTCTGAAATGGCACCTCTTTCCAGGAGCAAAAAGCCTCGTCTATCTCCCATGGAAGGGTTAGTGGGCTCGAACCATGGATCTTGTGATTTGCAATTCAGTGCTTATTTCATGAAGTCAATGAGCTGCGTTCATGGATTAGATAACAGAGTATATCAGCAGTGGGTTTAGTTTGGGGGCGACAATGTATTCCAAACCTATTACCACACAGTCAATTCTGACTCATAGTGACCTAAAAGACAGAGTAGAACAGCCCCCTAGGCTTCTCAAGGTGGAAATCATTATGGAAGCTCACTGTTTGAACATTCTCCAGACGAGAGGCCAGTGGGTTAGAACAGCTGACCATTCTGTTAGCAGGCGAGTGCTTTAACTACTGTGTCACTGGGATTCTTAACTGGAAGACAGACAACTCATTTAGCACTAAACCATTTCCCAAATAAAGGAAGACTAAAAAACAACAACAGAATTGCTTGGGTTTTTTTTTTGTTTGTTTGTTTGTTTTTGTTTTTTTAATCTTACTTTATTTGGAAACTGGTTTACCACTAAACGAGTCAGTTGTCTGTCTTCCAGTTAAGAATTTCCCAGTGGTCAATGGTGTAGCAGTAAGGTGCTCAGGGGCCAACAGAATGGTCAGCCGTTTGAACCCTTTGGACTCTGGAGAAAGAGCAGACCGGTTGGCTTTGATAAAGATAGCAACCTTGGGAGCAGTTCTACTCTGTCTTCCAGGTTGCTGTGAGTCCAAGTGGACTTAATGGTGAAAGGGCAGGGTAAGTCTTCCCCCAAAACTAAACCCAATGCTGTCGAGTCTCCAGGTTTTTCTTCCAAGGTGCCTCTGGGTGAACTTGAACCCCCAACCTTTTGGCTAGTAGCCAAATATTTTAACTGTTTGCACCCTTGATTGTTTTTAAAAGCCTGTTGAAAGTTTTCTCTCATTAGACTTGGCACTTAAGATCACTTTTTGGGCTGTTAAAAACCCCTGAAAACACAGCTAAGGAAGTTTCTGACCAGCTAGCACACCTCTTTCTTCCTGTATCCTCAGACTTCCAATTCCGCTTTTCTCAACGTCACTCTGATTTTTCTTGTCTGTTTATTAGTTGTTAAAAATGTTCTTCCTTCCTGGTTCCTTCAATTTAGACCAATTTGGGAATGGAAAAGTGTGTTAATTTTTTAATAAATCTTTAAGACACGCATTACTGTGTTTTTATTAACGGATCCAGATGGCCCACAGTAGAGTCTCTCTGACACAAGCAATTACAGAAATCAGTTTGGGACCCAAATCTGGTATGAAAAGTAGCGTATCTAGTCAGTGGAGAAGCACTGTTCACACAAACATATGGTGAATTTTAGAAATAGTATTTGTTACTGTTTGGATCTCATTTTACTTTATTGTTTTGGGCCAAGTACAAACTAAGGAGGGAGTGCACTGGCTTTGAAGGATGAGCACAAGCTACAAGGTTGGTGGTTCAAACCCACCAGCCGTTCCTTGGGAGAAAGATGGGCTTTACAGCCTCAGAAGCCCTATACAGGGTTGCTATGAATCGGAATTGACTCTACAGCACATAATAACAATAACAAGCTAAGGACATTTTCTTTTTGTTCGTTTCCTTCCCTCCCAGACTTAAGAATTACAGGACTTCCTCAACAAACCAAATGTGTTTTCTCTTTGCAGTTTGAAGGTTGCAAGAAGGCCTTCTCCCGGCTTGAAAATCTCAAGATTCACTTGCGGAGCCACACGGGCGAGAAACCATATCTCTGCCAGCATCCCGGCTGCCAGAAGGCGTTCAGTAACTCCAGCGACCGCGCCAAACACCAGCGGACACACCTGGACACGGTGAGAATGCCAGGAGCTCGCCCTCTGGTGCCAGGAAGCGCCACAGTAGGACGCTGAAGGCATTTGCTTTCTGCTTTGCAGGTTACAGGGGACAAGGCCCAGGGCTGTGGCTGGCTGCCTGGCTTTTCTGTAACCACGTGCCATCCTCAGGATTGCAGCTATAATGATATACAGTCTTGGAAATCCTATGGGCCAGTTCTAGTCCATCCTGTAGGGTGGCTGTGAGTTGGAATCGACTCACGGGCAGTGGACTTCATTTTCGGTTTGGTATATAAAGCAGAGGCGCTATACATTTCTATACTTTTGTACATTTACATGGATTAACAGATCACAGACTGCAATAGTGAGCTCGAAGACAGCCAAGACTGTGAGGATGGAGTAGGACCCAGCAGTCTTCCAATTTGTCCCATAGAATCACTGTGCATCCGAACAGACTCAATAGCACCTAACAACAACTTGCATTTATAAGGGCTGTAACATGTTGAGGGTCATCAAACCGATTTTGTCTCCTAGAGACCCCATGTGACAGAGTAGAACTGTTCCTATAGGGTTTTCTGGAGGCCTGCTGTGGCACTGTGGATTAATGCGCTAGACTGCAAGGTTGGTTTGAACTGCAAGGTTAGCGATTCAAGCTCACCAACCGCTTCTTGGAAACCCTATACAAGGTCGTTATGGGTGAAACCAGCTCAACGGAACTTAATAACAACAACATAAAGCTTTCTGGAAGTCGTGGTGTGGCACTTTAGGATAAGTGCAGGACTGCAAGGTTGATTTGAACCACAAGGTTGACGGTTCAAGCTCCTTGGAGATCAGATACAGGGTTGCTGTGAGTCAGAACCGTGATGATAACATAGGGGTTTCTAGGTTGCCATCTTTACAGACTCTGATCACCGAGCCCTTCTCCTGTGGAACGTTGCTAGGTGGGTTTGAACCAAAAACCTTTCAGTTGACATTTAAGTGTTTAACCATAGGCATTACCAAGACTTCTGAGTTATAACATGGTGGTGATGGATATGTGCTATGGAGTTGGTTCTGACTCACAGTGACCCTGTACAGGGTTTCCGAGGTTGTAAATCTTTACAGGAGCAGAAAGCCTCATCTTTCTCCCACAAAACAGCTGGTAGTTTCGAACTGCTGACCCTGAGGTTAGCAGCCCAATTCGTAACCACTATGCTGCCAGAGCTCCTTGAGTTATAACATAGTAGATTTAATGCAGAGAATAACCACTAGGAATTGGGTGAACATTCACATGTTGTTGTTGTTATGTGTCATGGAGTCGGTTCCAACACATAACAACCCTGAACAGGGTTTCTAAGGCTGTAAATCTTTACGGGAGCAGAAAGCCTCATCTTTCTCCCATGGAACAGCTGGTAGTTTCGAACTGCTGACCTTGTGGTTCACAGCCCGATTCGTAACCACTACACTACCATAGACAGGCATTTTATAGTATTATTGCTTTAGTCTGTGGTGCATAGTGTCGGATATGAGCTGGAACCAACTTGACTGCTCCTAGCAACAGCAGCAATAAAATATAAAGATCTTTTTTTTTTTTTTTTTCTTACCCTGGTTCATTTCTTCTTGACTTGAGAACTTTGGGGCTGGCATAGTTTTTGAATCTGTTTTTTACTCTAGAGCCCACCTGGTATTTTCACTTTTATACCATGTAAAAAGCATCTGCAAATCCAGGGTTCAGTGTTCCACCTAAACGCACGAGAACAAGCGCTCTTCGTTTTTTCCTCTACTAAACCCCCTTCCTGCTGGACTGTTTTGCTCTTTTGTAAATGCCTTTTCTAGGTTTCTTTTATATTCTCCACGATGTTGATTATTTTTGTATTTCTCAGGAATCGGTCCTATTCCCTGCCAACAGGATAGATAGGCTATCTACAGTTTCACTCCACTTAACAAAGCCAACAGGATAAATGTATTATACACATCTCAGATCTCATAGCCCATGTTCTTGCAAATAATGTATTCATGACAATAGTTTTGCATTGTTAACATTCTGATGTCTATTACTAAATTACACCAGAGCTGGAATTTTGAAAAGACACCATTATTTCTACATACCTTCTCATACACATTAAACATTCTTCTGATATTGTAGTTGACATATTTATTACATTTTATATGAGTCACATGAGGAACACTGGTGGTACAGAGGTTATGTGCTCAGCTACTAATGGAAAGGTTGGTGATTCAGATCTACGCACAAGTACCTCTGAAGAGAGACCTGGAGATCAGCTTCTGGAAAGATGACCTTCTGGGGCAATTCTACCCTGCCATAGGGTCGCTATGAGTCAGAATCGAGTCAATGATAATGGGCTTTTTATTAGTCATATTGATAGAAGTAATTTTAGTGTTATGTCACAGCACCTTGGTAAACAGAATGAGCCCATAAATGTGCTGGTTTGTACAAAGCTGCCTGCTAAGCGGCTGAGCTCCAGTTGGAGCCGTGTGAGGTACTGCTCAGACGCAACTGAATAAAGTAATGATAGGACCAATGGAATTTTCAGCGAATACGTTTGGTGACTGAGCAGGATTTTTAAAAGGGAGAAATTACAGAAAGAAAAGGAGCAGATGATGTTTTGTTTTGTTATGTCTAAACGGCCTGGGTAGAATCCAATCAATTTTCCAATTTGTCATTTATCTTTCTCAGGGAAAGTGAGACTTCATGAAGTAAGATTGTCTTCAGAATTTGTTTCTGTTATACCTAGTTATCTGTGCTTTGAAAGGACTATGGACACAATGACTGTTTGGATTCTGCAATAGTCTTCTTAGCTTGCCTCTCATTTTAGTTAATTGTTTTTGAATTAAAAAAAAAATTATCTGTTTTTCAAACTTTTGAGAGAATTTCCCTAAGATAATATTTTTATGATTCAGTGTAATGTAATGACTTTAAAAGCTCAGCTATTTTAATTTATTTTTAATGAAAATCTCTCCATCATTTCTTTAGGAAGATCCAAACCTCTTGTTTAATTGTTTTATGGAATTTAACAAACTACTAAACTCGGTGAGAATCACATAGAAATTCAATATGTTAAAAAGCAAACTGTTCTTGTTTGAAGAATTTAAAACTTAAAATTAAGTGTGCATTCCCTTTCATTGACTATCTCTGAGTGGCACAAAGTGTTGTGAGCTTCGCTATCTATTGCGAGGTTGGCGGTTCAAATCCACCCAGAGGAACCTCAGAAGAAAGACCTGGTTGTCTGTTTCAGAAAAGTCACAGCCTTGAAAATCTGATGAAATTCACTTCTGCGTTGCACACATGGAATCAACCATGAGTCAGAAACTACAAGAGAGCAGCTTGTTTGGTCTTGGATTTGGTTCCCTTTCATTAAGCATTCTTGTCCTGGTGTGGTGCTGTGTGTTATTGTGTGGGAACTGCAAAGTCAGTTTGAACCACAAGGTCAATGGTTCAAGTTCACCACCCGCTCCTTGCAAACACTATACAGAGTTGCTATGGGTCCAGAACAGACTCGACAACACTTAACAACAACAACAGCACACTAATGTTAAGGAGCTCTGGTAGCATAGTGGTTACAAATCAGTCTGCTAACCTCAAAGTCAACAGTTTGAAACTACCAGCTGTTCTGTGAGAGAAAGATGAGGCTTTCTGCTCCTGTAAAGATTTACAGCCTTGGAAACCCTGTACAGGGTCACTGTGAGTCAGGACCACCACTACCACCATGCTAATATTATCTGAATTTTGAATAAATTAAACTAAACTTTCTTAAATTAAAATGAATTGGATTCTCTGTACTCATAAGAAAATCGTTTTCCCATAAGGACTTTTAGTTGTTGCTGTTACGTGCCAGTCAGTCGGTTCCTAACCATAGCAACCTTATGCACAACAGAACAAAACACTGCCCGATCCTGTGTCCTCCCCACAACCGTTGTCACGCTTGAGCCCATTGCTGCTCCTGCTGTGTCTGTCTGTCTCACTGGGGGTCTTCCTCTTTTTCACTGACCCTCCACTTTATCTAGCATGATGTTTTTCTTTAGGAATTTGTCACTCCTAATACCTGTCCTAAGTATGAGAGACAAAAGCTCATCATTCTGGTTTCTAAGGGGCATTCTGGTTGAACTTCTTCCAACATAGAATCATTTGTTCTCCTAGAAGTCCGTGGTATTTTTAATATTCTTGTCCAACACCATAACTCAAATCCATCAATTTTTTTATGGTCTTCTTTATTCACTGTCCAACTTTCACATGCATATCGGACTATTGCAAATACCAGAGCTTGGGGCAGGCACACCTTAGTCCTTGAACTCTGACATCTTTGCTCTTTGAACACTTTAAAGCAGTCTTGTGTAGCCGATTTGCCTAATGTAAATTTGATTTCTTCATTTCATTTGATTTTTTGACTGCTGCTTCCATGAGTGTTGATAATGGATCCAAGTAAAATGCAATCTTTGACAACTTCAGCCTGTTTTCTGTTTAACCTGATGCGATTTATTGCAGCTGGGGAGCAATTTTCTTTTCTTTACATTGAGCTGCAATCCATACCGAAGGCTTTGGCATTTGATCTTCAATAGTAAATATTTCAATCCTGCTTCCCTTTCAGCAAGTGAAATTGCATCATCTGCATATCACTGGTTGTTAATGATTCTTCTTCCAATTTTGATGCCATGTTCTTCTTCATATAATCCAACTTCTCATAACATTTGCTCAGCATACAGATTGAATATGTATGGTGAAAGAATGCAATCCTGTTGTACACCTTTCCTGATGTTAAACCAATTATCCCCTTGTTCTTTCAAACAACTGCCTCTTGATCTTTGTACAATTAAATGTTCTGGAATACACTGCAGTGTTGTTCATAGCTTGTCATGAGCCACAGTTGAAAGATTTTGCATATTCAATAAAGCACAAATAAACACCTTTCTGGTATTCTCTGCTTCCCGTCAAGATCCATCTGACATCAGCAATGATATTCCATGTTCCATATCCTCATCTGAATCTGGCTTGATCCTCTTGCAGTTTCTTGTTGATGTACTGTTGCAACTGTTTTTTGAATTACCTTCAACAAAATTTTACATAATAGCCTTGTCTTAATAACATTGTCTTAACATAATCTTAATTACATAAACTTAATAACATTGTCCGATGATTTCCAGATTCCATTGGGTCACCACTCTTTTTAGAATAGACACAAATATGGGTCTCTTCCAATCAATTGGCCAGGTAGCTACTTTTTTTTTTAGCAATGATGAATGAGTTCCTCCAGTGCTGCTTCATTGTTTTGTTGTGTTTTTTGTTTTTTTTTTTTTTATTTCAATTTGTTTTCCATCAATTCCCAGAGATTTGTTCTTTGTCAGTGCCTTCAGTGCACCTTGAACTTCTTCCTTCAGTACCACTGACTCTTGATCACACGACACCTCTTAAATGGTTTTGGTACAGTGATTCTGTGTATTCCTTCCACCTTCTTTTGATGCTTTCTGTATCATTCAATATTTTGCCCATAGAATCCTTCAGTATTGTGAGTTGAGGCTTGAAATTCTTCTTCAGTTTTTTCAGCTTGAGAAATGCTGAATGTGTTCTTCCCTTTTGATTTTCTAATTCCAGATCTTTGCACATTTCATTATAATACTTGACTTTGTGTTCTTGAGCTGCCCTTTAAAAATCTCTGTTCAACTCTTTTACTTCCTTATGTCTTTAGCAACTTTGCACTGGAGAGCAAATTTTAGTCTCTTTTGACATCCATTTTGGTCTTTTTCTTCTTTGTCTTCTTAATGACATTTTTTTTTTTCTTGCTTTCTTCCTTTATGGTATTCTTAATGTCATCCCACGACTCTTCTGGTTTTCAGTCTTTAGTGTTTAATGCCTCAGATCTATTCTTGAGATGATCTCTAAATTCAGGTGGTGTATGTTCAAGGTCATATGTTGGCTCTTGCGGACTTGTTTTGATTTTCTTCAGCTTCAGACTAAACTTACATACAATTCATGGTCTGTTCCACAGTCTGTCCCTGGCCTTGTTTTGGCTGAAGATATGGAGCTTTTCAACCATCTCTTTCCACAGATGTAGCCAGTTTGATTTCTGTGTATGCCATCTGGTGAGGTCCACGCATATGATTGCCTTTTATACTGTTTTTAAAAAGTGCTTGTGATAAAGAATTCATTAGTCTTGCAGAATTCTATCATGCGATATCCAGCATCATTTCAATCACCAAGGCCATATCTTCCAACTGATGATCCTTCCTCTTTATTCCCAACCTTTATGTTCCAATCACTAATAAGATATAAATACATCTTGATTGCAAGCGTGATTAATTTCAGACTGAAAAAGTTGGTAGAATTCTTCTATTTCATCACTGGCTTTAGTGGTTGGTGCATATATTTGAATAATAGTGGTATTAACTGGTCTTTCTTGTACGTGTATAGATATTATCCTCTCACAGACAACATTGTACTTAATGATAGATCTTGAAATGTTCTTTTAATGATGAATGTGATACTATTCCTCTTCAGTTTGTCATTCCCAGCATAGAAACCATATGCTTATCAGATTCAAAATGGCCAATACCAGTCCACTTCAGTTCACTAATGCCTAGGATATTGATCTTCATGAGTTCCATTTCATTTTTGACAACTTCTAATTTTTCTTGATTCATACTTCATACATTCCATGTCCTAATTCTGAATGGACAATTTGTGGCTGTTTCTCCTCATTTTAAACTGTGCTCCATCAGCAAATGGCAGTCCTGAAAACTCTTCTCCATTCAGTCATCATGGTCAACTCTACTTTGAGGAGGCAGCTCTTCCCCAGTCATATTCTGAGTGCCTTCCAACCTGAGGGGCTCATCTTCTGGCACTGTATCTGACAGTATTCTGGTGCTCTTCATCATGTTTCAATATTCAATATTCTGGTGCTATCAGGCAGTGTTTTGGACTGTTTTGGTGTTATCTGACTGCTACTCATAAGGTTTTTCAGGAGCTAAACATTCGGAAGTAGTCCGCCTCTCCTTCTTCCTGCTCTAGCCTTGTCTGGAACCTCAGCTGAAATCTGTCCACAATGGGTGACTCTCCTGGTCTTTAAAATACTGGTGGCATAACTTTCAGTATCAAAGCAACCAGCAAACTACCACAGTATGACAAACTGATTCACTTGTGGTGACTGATCATAAAGATCACTGAGTTCATAATCCTAGATCTGAAAATGTTTTATTAATTCATTGATCGATTAGCATCTTCAGAACATAACAGGGGAAATAATTTAAGAGTAATAGAAAATAATGAAAAGTATGGCTTGTTGGAAAATGAGTGTCATGCAAAGACTAGTTCATTTGAAATAAAGGAACACTGGTGGCACAGTGGTTGAGTGCTCAGAAACTAACAAAAGATGAGTGGTTCAGACCCACCACCTGCTATGTGGGACAAAGATGAAACATTCTGCTACTATGATGATTAGTCTTAGAAAACCCAGTGAGCGATTCTAGCCTGACCTATAGGGTTACCATGCATGGGAATCAAGTTGAAATTAAATGATCAGTAGATGAATGCTCCCCGTACCATCTGCTGACATTGCTGTGTTGGCAGACATGTCCCAAGTGTCTGGCAGTGAGGGACAAGTGGACAGCAGTGAGGTAGATGACTTGAGACCATCTCAAAATAAAATAGAAATCATGCCACTGTTAGCTGCTGTGGAGCCGGCCCCTGTCTCTTGGCAACCCCATTTGCAGCAGGATCTGAATGGCTGATTATTCAGAAGTAGATTGCCAGACATTTCTTCCTAGTCTCTTTTAGTCTGCAAGCTCTGCTAAAACTTGTTCAGCAGTATAACAACACGCAAACCTCCACTGATCTGTGGGTGGTGCCTTCACAGGTGGTACATTGACCAGGAATCGGTCCCAGGTCTCCTCTGTGGAAGGGGAGAATTCAGCCACAGAACCACCACTGCCCCTTATAAATAGTATTACCCATTTCTTTCCTTTCCAGCTTGCATGATAATGGTCTGGTCGTGGTTGTGGTGATGGCTGTAATGTTTTAATACTCACAAAGGCTTTTTTTTTTTTTTTTTTTAATATATACATCGTCTCCCCTGCTCAAAGCCTGAGGTCATGTGACAGTCAGTACAGATGCTGCTCCTTAAACCAAGGACGGAGTATAGAATGCTAGTTCAAGAAAGCCCTAGAAACTCAAAAAAAGATTCCCAGGTGACACATTTGTGCTTGCCCAATAAAATACATTGACTTTTAGTCCCACACTGCTCAACCTTAGTAAAACCTGTGAGATACTGACAGCTTGGCTCATCTGTTCATGGTAACACAGTCCCCAGCATGTCGTGGAAGTATCCGAGCTGTGGAATGACTCAATCAGTTGATCCTCCAATAAGCGAACCAGTTACTAAGCACTTGCTGTCCAGTCAGTTCCAACTCATGATGACCCCATTTGTATCAGAGGAGAACTGGTCCATACGGTTTTTGATTTTCAGATGCTGCTCACCAGGCCTTTCTTACGGGTTTCCTCTGGGTGGACACTAACCGCCAATTTTTTTATTAGTAGTTGGACTATTTAATTATTTTCACAAAACAGCTAACCTGTACTGTGTGGTGTTGTTATTGCCCCTCTTCCCTCAGTTCATTGAATAAACCAATTTATTTTATTTCATAACTGAAGAGCCATAGTCTCCAATCCTTACTGTGAATCTTGTCCTGACTGTAGGTGCTGAAATTTGACTGGCCATGTGGTACTCTCATTAATTCAATGCTAACTATTAAGAGCCAAATACTGTTGTTGTTAAGTTGAGTCTTTTCTAACTCATAGAGAGAGAGCCTGTACAGGGTTTCTGAGGAGTAGCTGCTGGGTTTGAACCACGAACCTTGTGTTTGCAGTCCAGTGCTTGTCCTACAGCACCAAACCAGGACTCCTTTTAAGCCGGTTGTTGTTGTTATTTGTTGTTGTTGTTAAGTGCAGTCTAGTCTTTTCTGGCTCACAGTGACTCTGTACAGGGTTTCTGAGGAGCAGCTGGTGGGTCTGAATTTCCAACCTTGTGGTTCATAGTCCCATGTGCTGATCCTGCCGTGCCACACCAGAAGTGTCTAGATTCAGACTCAGTCCTCACACCTGCAGGGCCATGGGGAATTGGAGCAACCCAAACGTATGTCATCCTCTTACTTGACCACGGCTTGATCCAAATAACCGCAGCTTAGCACTAAATCTCCTCTCCAGCTCAATGCTACTACTGTTTCTTGTCTGTTGTTCCAAACCTACTGTCTCATTTTAAACTTACTATTCCCTCTTCATTCTCTCTCTCTCTCTTTGAATCAGGTTTCTTCTGAAATACTTCCAGTCTTTTCTGGATTTTTCTACAGCTTCTTTACCTGAACCCTTAAAGAATATGTGCTTTCTAGTCTCTGACAGAACCAAAGATTGTTCTCAGGGGACATGCTGTAAGTATGACTGCAGATGCTTACTAATAATTTCCACCTTAAAAAAAAAAAAATACCACAGTGGTTAGCCTGTAGTTTTAAAACCCCTTGAAGATAGGTCATCTTGTTTCCTGAAAGTTGAGCGCCCTCTTTGCTGCAACGCAAAGCTATTGGACTTTCTAATGAAAATGCATGAGTATTATACAGATTTTTCCATTCATCAGTTGGTAACAGTACCTGCTCTGAAGTCAGTAATCTTTGTTGGAGACAACACTTTGCTGGTTACCTTTATGATTTAACCATAGCTGTGTCTCTCTTTCTTTCTTATTTAGAAACCTTATGCTTGTCAAATTCCAGGATGCACCAAACGCTACACAGACCCGAGTTCCCTCAGGAAGCATGTGAAGGCCCACTCTTCCAAAGATCAACAAGCAAGGAAAAAGGTAAATTTAAAGGAAGAGTCTCCAGCCAGGGAAAACATGTTGGTATGACTCTAATACTGCCAGGAGATACTGCTGGACCCCGAGAATTTTTAGTTTTTTCAAGATGAAACATGCTTTCGATGGCTTGAGGAGGGATGTTTCCATGAACCAAACCTCAAGGCTCTGGTATGCATTGTCATTGTTGTTAAGTACCATTGAGTCAGTTCCGACCCATAATGACCCTGTGTAGGGTATCCGAGGAGCGGCTGGTGAGTTTGCTGCCTGGTGCTTATCCTTCAGCGCCATACCAGGACTCCAGGTCTGTATTATAGCTAGACAGGAATCTTTGGGGATGACTTCTCTGCTGGAAATCAGAGAAAACTAGTGAAAAAGCCACCCACACTACAAAGCAACACATTACAAAAGTCCAGTATACAGAGCTAAAGAACGTTGAATTGGAGTAAACAACAACTAAAAAACAAAACAAAGCTATTCTCAACATCAGTGCTTTTTCTTAACATAACAATCGACTACAATGATTTTGTTGTGAAGTGCCGTCCTGTCCAGTTGGATCTCACTCATAGTGACCCTGTATGGGGTTTCCGAGGCTGTAAATCTTTACGGGAGCAGAAAGCCTCATCTTTCTCCTGTGGAACAGCTGGTAGTTTTGAACTGCTGACCTTAAGGTTCGCAGCCCGATTCGTAACCACTATGCTGGTAATAGAGTCTTATTTTTCTCCCATGGAGTGACTGGTGGGCTTGAACCACCAACCTTGTGGTTTACAGTCCAGTGCTTGTCCTACAGAGCTACCATGCTCTCCACAGTGATTATAGTGCTGAAGAAAAAGGAAGAAGAACACTTAAATGAGTAAATGCGGCACATTCCTCATTTTAACCTTAAAAAACACGCACATTGCTTGTAGGTGGTGGTGATGGGTAGTTGCCTTCCAGTTGGCTTTGGTTCATGGGGGCTGATTGTACAACATAAAGAATCTTGCCTGGTCTGAGTCAGCTTCCTGATTGTTGGTATGTTTGAGTCCTTGTGACTTCCATTGAGTAGTACCTTCTAACTAGGGACTCATTTTCCAGCACTATAGCCGACAGTATTCTCGTAATAGGTACTGGGTATGGAAATTCGAAAAAGGAATTGATCTTAAAATCTCTTTGACATCAGTAAGGGATTAATGCATCTTAAGAAGTTCATAAAAATCATCATATCCTAGATGTGGAAGAAATGTTAAAGTTTAACCAGTAGACCAAGTTGATTGTTGCTCTCTTAGCCTCTCTTATACGTTCTCCATCCAGTGGTTGGCCATGCTGTGGTTGAACTGCTCTTGTGATGGGGAGCTCCTGACCTTTCAAGACATTTGGTAATAATTCTGATTTTGAATTTTGGGGACCAACAAGTATCTTTGGCCATGACAGAGAGCAAATTGAGTTGGCATTGGCTCTTGAAGTGCTTCGTTTCTTCTGAGATGGGTTCCTGACTCATTTAAAGGTTCTTCTTCAGAAATTCAAAGGTTGCTTGTTTTAAGTAATTGAAAATTCTGACTAGTATTTCAAGTCACTGTAAGTTCTCCTTGGGAATATTGCATTCCTTCATGACTTACAGGGATGTGTAGCTTAGAGGTTATGAATCGGGCTGTGAACCTCAAGGTCAGCAGTTCAAAACTACCAGCTGTTCCATGGGAGAAAGATGAGACTTTCTGCTTCCATAAAGATTTACAGCCTTGGAAATCCTGTACAGGGTCAGTATGAGTCAGAACCGACTCCATGGCACATAACAACAACAACAACAACACATTCATGTGGGGAAATGGTCTCTCTATTATTTTAGTTTTTCTTTCCTGGGAGATGTTAGCATAGTACTCACCAATGCATGGAAAGAATGGAACCTCTTCCCTGTGAGGTAGAAAAATGCCTGGTTAGAAGGGTTCTAGAGCTAGTCCTAACTGTGTACACCTGTTCTTTTGTGTAAGTCAGTTGTTAGAATTGCTTTTGTACTTTCCCTCTCTCTCTCAAAATAGAGTGAAATCTCTTTATGTCTGATGGGTGTGGTCATTTGGCATGGATTGGATCTGCTCTTCTCTGTTGGAAGAGCTGAGGAACAGTTAAGTGGATTAACAGTGTCAATCGAGTTGTAAGGTGGACACTTAGTGTTCTGACAGTACTATTCCATCATTGCATGGGTGCTGGTGGTATTTGCATTTGAGTCACTTCCCCCTCTGGAAGACCTTATGTATACCAGAAGGAGACATGGTCCTGTCCCGTATGGTCTTTAAGACCCTTGTTCTGTTTGAGCACATTGTAGTGGTGATGGTGTCCGTCCCTGTCATGGACAGCTTCCTTTGTTTGCACTGACCCTGTACTTTACCAAGCACATTGTCCTCTGAACTTTACTGATTACGTGTGCAAGTAAGTGAGTCAAACACAGTCTCGCTCTCCTAGTTTCTAAGGAACAGTCTCCTTGCACTTGTGGCAGACTTGCAAATTTCAGGCCCTGGCTCAGTGTTTTTCATCCTGATTTCCATATATCTCATGAACTTGAAATAACAAAATGTATGTGTTAAAAATGAGGTCCTCCTAGATGAGTCTTACCTCAAATTGCCCCAAATGTGTAAGGTTTTACTCTAATAGAAAATCTATCATGAGACTGAAGACCACTTGTGTAGAGGGTAACAATTTTTGTGGCCCCATATGTAGATAAATAAGCAGTAATAGAATCTTAAATTTAAAGTGAATGTACAATAGGCGTAGACCAGTGAGCGGGAGTATTTTCAGGAATTGTTAATGCTCTGCCTCTAGATAAAGGAAGAGTATTTTTGATTGTGTGAAGGATTCTTGAAGTGTAATTGATCAAAGAAACACTGGCCTTGAGATGACAAAATAGAATTTTATAGACAATTGGCAGACAACCTTCAAGAGGTAATCTAGACAGCGAAGGGGGCTAGGCTTTGGAAGAGCAGTAATTATAATAAAATGTCAAATACTACAGTAACCTGACTTGCTTTTGTCTTACCTAACATGAGGTCTCATCTCTCAAGTGACTTAAGCTTGGGATGTTCACATGGTTTCCTGCAAATGTGACTCGCTGTCCATACTCAGTGACAAGCAGCTGGGTTTGTTTGCTTTCTGAATTTTCACCTGCTTTTGGTTTGAAGATGTAAGCAATCCTTTGTGTATCTGGAATGGACTCCTTTGTGGAAATTCAAAGCATGCAAGTTGTTCTGTCTCACAACAGCAGCAAGAAAAGGAAATGTCATTCCATTCCCAGGAGGAGCTATGCTCATAAACCCCAAATCAGTCAATTCACATTGTCAAGTCTACAGACATACCGACATGGGATAGTTGCATGGTGCAGTTGTTACTAGACCTTAGAGAAATTCTAATTGCGAACTCACATCAGACTATGGTATTTGAAATATTTCCTGGCAGCTAGAATGAAAACACACACACACACACACACACACACACACACACGGAAGAAACAATAAACCTTTTAAGACAGAATTAAGATTATTTACGACTTTAATTAAAAGTTGAAAACTGGCATCGTTTCAAAAAGACCTTTACAAAAAAACGTGAATTCATCACAAATAACCATAAAAATTCCGAGGTGATAAAGGCACAGCCGAGAAATGGTCCCAGCCCTGGGTAATTGTTCTGTTGAAAAGAATGAAACCCTTTTCTGTCATACCCTGCTAGTCATGGGTTCATTTAATATGCCCTGCCTGCCTGCTTGCCTCTAATCCTCTTCTTAACCTCCCCCTGGACACCAAATGACATTATTTTGGTCTTAACATGGCTAGCTTTATGAGGCCCTGCTCTGAAACTGGAGCTAGGGACAAGGCATCCTAAGCCGTAGGAGAACCATGCATCATGCATAACACTGACTACTCTGATCACACACATCTTGTCTTTACCACACCTATTGGATTCCATGAAAATCAAGAAAGCCTAAACAGCTTTTATTTTAAGTTAAATCAATTCTGACTCCTAGGAACCCTATAGGACACAGAAGAACTGCTCCATAGGGTTTCCTAGGCTGTAAATCTCCACCACAGCATATCACCGGGTTTTTTTTTTTTTTTTTTTCTTTCCCCCTCTGAGCAGCTGGTGGATTTGAACTGCCAAGCTTTTAGTTAGCAGCCCAACACATAGCTCACTGTGCCACTTGGGCCACCCTCAGCCCCACCCCCACCCCAAATCAACAAGAACCTGAAATGTCAGGGAAATATTCAAGCTCTGAGACGAAAAGGTGTGGGGGAACCAACCAACTCTTCTGCAAAAGAATTGGGATAATTTGACTCATTGAATGCAGAGCAAACCTCTCTCTTTGCATAATGCGAGCACACCCACACAATCCAGCAGTTACTGTACAGGCTTCTTTCGTTGGATGCTCCTAGCAGCAGCAGGTCTGCAGCATGTATCGTAGAGGGCCTCACAGATCATGTGAGGTGCACACACATCTGCCCTCCCCCCCACTTCCAGTCTCCACAAAGAACACAATTTTCACCTATACAGCCAAAGGTAGACACTGACCTCCAGTTCGGGCTGAGAATGAGTGTGTGAAGTAGAAGACAAAGGCAATCCGCTGCTAGAAATTTTCCTCAAGGCTGTGAGCTTTTATCAGAGATTTTTCTTTTTTTTTTCTTTACATTTTCACCTTGGCAGCACCGGAAGCTGGGAGTTTTCCTTCAACTCTGTCTATCCTGCTAGTAAATGGACTTTTTATTGTCCCCCCAAAAAGAATGAATGCAAAGAATGTTGCACCAAAAGCTGGAGGTCACACCAATCTTCCATCTGTTTCATGCTTCCACCAACACTCCAGACGTGGGACGAGAGGAGTTCAATGTGTGTTGAACATTGAATTTTAATTTGTCAAGGCGGACGGCTTTCACGTTTGCCAACTCAATGCAGGCTGTTGAGAAGCAAGTATCACATTTGCAATGTGTGTGTGAACAACCACAAGCACTTATGTTTTCTGGCTGCCTGGCTTCCGCAAGAGCAGTGTATGGCAT